TGGACTATACACTTGCATTGTAACGTTCCAACAATTAGATCATCTTTCATAAATCGTCAAATCTGTCCTTATAATGCTTATTTTATGGCATCATTGTTATGCGAGTTAGTCAAGCGTAATTAAGGTACTGTCTGACAAAAATGTACGTTATCTGTAGTTGGTATACCACATTAGGTCTATGAGATTAAATTATTAAGAGTATAAATAATATGATAGCGATAATAGTAAGAAAGAATAAACAATAAGAACATATTTGGAGAATGAGGAGTGAAAAAGTATGCATAGAGGAATATTGAATATGAATATCTGAAGGAGCGTAAAAATTTAGCACATCTTAACCTTTGTGACCAATTCGATGTTATGTCATCCAACGACTTCACTAGTTAGAGTTGTCGCGCATCTTCCAACCAGCCAGTTTGCGTCCATTAATATGGCTCAGATTAACATTTAGTGACTTGGTGAACTAATAATATGGCTTATCTTTGCTGCTTCAGTATTCTTCCAGCTTAATTTTATACCGGTTAGCAATGCGCGTCAAGGTAGATGACGGTCAAACATACGTATTACATGTCATAAACCCCCAGTCACAATTCGAGGGGCGGACTTATCGTATTTACCTATTATTCATTTTCATACCCCAGCACTGATTACTCTGTTTCTTCACAATAGGTGAGGTGTCATGAGGACAGCTATGATCAAAAAGATGGTTTTTGTTTCGGTTTGGTGTGAAGAACAAATGTATTAGATAGATGTGAATTAAATCGCATCTGACTGAAGAAATTTCTGTCCGATACAGACGTTTGTTTGTTCACAATAAACATAGTAACTGGATAGAACAATCAAGGATTAAAGAAAATTTCGAATTGGGATAACGCTAAGATGTACCATTTATATCTAATTTATAATTAATCAGTAATTTGAATTCCATTACACATTATAGTTCTTTACACAATGCCTATAGAGACAGACATTTCAATAAATTAAGAATGACTATGAATCACACTTTTATTATAAAAGTAAACGTTTTATGGTCACGTTAAAGGAAGATCACATATTTAACGACGAGATTTTATCACGGGATATAAGCTCAAACCACTATATTTTACAGAATGTTATTATAATTCATGATAACAATAATGATAGTAATATTGATTTGTAATGTTCGAGTTTCACTTTTCTCCTATTTTGTTATGAAACTAATAATTGTCAAAATTTGTTGTAATTAAAGTACTTAATAACTCCTAAAGTACTTGACCTTATGTTAGCGAGGATTTTACTAAAGACTTTAATCACGTTTGATCACTGACGAGGTCGTCAAGTGCGTTAATTGCAAACGTTTAAGAGGAAGAAAATTATCATCAAGTAGAATATCCTATTTTTAAAAGATGTATAGTGCACTGTACAGTCCGGCTCGGCAACTAATGCTTACGGTGTAGAGGGAAAATGCGAACTGCTATATGCTTTATGATTAGACGGAAAGATAATACAGCCGTTTCATAATGATATTTGCCGTGATCGACACAGATACACTGGGATTCAACCTTCGCCAGAAAAAATAATTTAGATGATGAACCGATCACATCAACATCCTCAACAACCCTATACTGACAGATTAATAATTCACTTATTAACATTAGGCTGATTACACCTGAACTTGGAACAGCATGTGGTTCGTCAGGGCTTGCCTGACATAGGAACTTGTGATTCAGGTGACATTGCATTTGATTACTTTCGGATCATTTCAAATTCTAATAGATTGATGTTTATGTTGAAGGAGTTTGACTTCTCTAAGTGTACGTTACCGAATAGTATCATTTTAACAAATACTGCAAACAATACTAACTACAATAACAAACAAATCTTTCTCAAAAACAGGAGCCATCTGGTCTTGAACAAAATTAATCACTCCTGAGTTTCAGATTCCCATATAGACATACTGTAAGCGTTTTATCAAGTACCATAATTTGATTTCTATGAATAATTAGAAAAGTTCTATGTGCAGAGTCACTATTAAAAGTAATATTTGGTTCTCGATTTATATTTCCTTCAATTCTGAAATCAAAGTTAACTGCATTATTTATGTTACAAATTGTTTTTACGACCAAATTAGTTTAGCGATATTCATCAAACCAGTATTTATTATACTAAACGGTGAATGTAAATCGAATGTTAAGAGTCGTTTATAGAGTAATAACAAATATGCTGTTCATTTTTTTACAAAATGGTCTTGCTGAAAGAATTTTCAACCCAATTATTGATCTATTCTGTTCATAATCATACAACTTTAAAACAATTGAATTATTTGTTACCAACTCTAAACAAAGCCGCTTTTTAAATGTAATCAATGCATGATCGTACTTTTATAATCAAAGTGAACTGATTTCTTAAAATATCCACACTAAATAGATCTTTATCCGTGTGGAAGAATGTAGGTCACAGCTTTAGCTGGCTTCTGTAGGATGTAATAATATGATTACTGTCTGTGCTTTATTCTCATTTCCTCTGTTCAACTTGTATCTGCCACTTGGAGATTATTTTCTGATTCACCTTTAAAATATACATGAGTCATACAATCACAATGAATCATGATCGTTTTCACGTAATGATAAACAGCAATTTGTATTATTATTATTTATTAATATTTCTGAACACAAAAATATTGGTACAAGAGGGCACCAAATATATATGCGCCACACTAAACAACGAATTCGAAGAGAAAACAGAAGGTAAGGAGCGTAAAGAAAGAACAATAACGAACAGATTAGTGTAAGGTTGTGTGATAATAATAATAATAATAATGGGGGAAACGGAAAGGTACAATCAGAAGAAATCTCTCAGGTAAGGGAGACATAACCACTTTTTATGAAGAAAGTAAAAGAAGGTTACAGCAGGATCGCCACTGACTTCTATTCTGAGCCATATCTGATAACGTCTCTAGCCACTGTGTCATATCACCTCTCGGACCCCAGCCAGGGAGTCGTGAAGGGCCAACAAAAGCCAGCCCTTTGCAGCTTTCTTCCATACTACGACACCATGTCATACACTGACCACCTCTCCGCCTTTTCCAACCAGTCCAAGCCCTTGAATGCCCTGGTATGGCCGAGAGTGGGGTGGGCTCACCCTCCCTCTAGAAATGCTCTCACACGGCCACGCGTATACAGCCTCTGCTAGGGAAGTCCTACACACTATCTTCTCGTGGCAGGGGTGTTGTTTACGAAAATGAGAGGACGAAAAGAGAATGTCCGTCACTTTAACCGGATCCCAAACCAATGGTGCATATAGGCTCCAATATCCTGAGGAAACAAATGGCGTATGGACCAATTGTTGGTCACCGACTACCATGGGACTTCATCTCCTCACGATGCTCCACCTCCTTGTGGGTCAGACCTTTAGGTCACAGGGTCGGGGTGTGGCCCCCTAAGAAAACCACCTACTTCGGTTTGAGCACCCGGGTAGGATCACAGCCCACACACATATGATGAAATTTCGATATTGATGGAAAATACTTGTTTTCCTTTGATCAACAATCAAACGATTCACATTACTATTTACGTCATTTATTCACTCTCTTTTATTCCCATTTTATGTATCCTCATTTTTCGACTTATACAGCAGCTCGGCTATGGTGGAAAGTCGGTCCTGTCTAAACGTTCTCGAGTCAATGCCTGGTTGGAAATTGTATGCTACCACCAAATATGAATACTGAAGCAGTTTTTCCGAAACCAAGTGCACCATTCAAAATTGTATTCACTGTTTAGAAATACAAACTATCCTATTTAATTGTGCTGAAATGGATATATTATCCTGATTTATTGTAGATGTATTTTTTAGGAAAATCGAAAACATGGGGATTATTTTAAAATAGTAGTAAACGATTGCCTTTGAATATGTATGAAGAAATCTTTAATACAAAGGAAAATAAGGGAAAAACTGTCGAAAAATCCTATACAAGGTGACCAATGACCCTCAGTAATTTCATTTTATATGTAATAATTAGTCAGTAAATTACCATCACACCGTCACGATATTTATGACAAATCAAACTGCTTATGTAGTATGGAAGATTACAAGAAACAATCTGGTACGATTGTTTTCTGGTGTGCATACTTGGGTGCTAACGAAAGTCGAACCAGTGCCAGGATACACCAACCTTATTGGTATGTGCCAATCAGCCAGTTATTTTGTCTACTTCATAAAATTCCTACACATATTGTCGATCGCTCGCTATGAGTGAGTACCACTGCTTCTCAATGTGTAGATGATTGTAAGCGAATGCATAAATTGATTGTGTTTTAGGAGACTAATAATATATTATCATAACTTAATCAGTTATGTTATAAAATTTGCGGTCCATTTATCTTATGACAGCCGAAAAAACATCGCTTGACTTCCTAATGAATAAATTATCAGACTCTGAATGTTTATTTCGCTAGTCTACGTATATTACAATGAGGATGAAAGGGTTGATGAATCCCAAATTTGTGAGTTTATATTGAACATATTCATATCGTACAATTACTGAGTAACTGGATTGCTATGTTTATATATTCCATTATGAGCTTTTAGTTGATACACTAACTACTGTTATACGACTTGCAGGTCCTAAAATTTTGCCAGTCTTTTACATACAACTTCTATTCACAGCCTTTTTTGGCTAGTTTATGTATAATTGTTATTCTTCATTTTACGATATGAAGTGGTCCAGTATGCCTACATACCAACAACGTCTGTCTAAAATATAAGTATGGTAGGGGCTGGTTGCCGAATTTTAGACTTAAATCAGGGTATAGAGAAAAGTTTAAGTATAACGGGCCAATAGGAACCCAACTGAGTCGGTTCTTGTTATAACCGTTCGTTTGAATGCTTATTGTCTTGGCTCTCTTAATGCTACATTTTGTATTTGGTCGTCGCTGATTGTTATGTCGGAAACGCTTATCACTTATACTCGGAACGAGGGACTTCTGCAATTCCCACGACGCGAAAGTAAGAACACAAAGACTAGTATAGGTGACGATTTATTAACCTCAAAACACGTCGAAGACGACAACAACGACTCTGGTAGATAATAAACTCATTTATATATTGATTGTACACCCATTTTGATTAATAATTAGGATGAAATCACATATATGATAACTACTTAGAGTTATAACAAATCACATACTGAGCATAGTTCATATCAAAGGAATACAGAATAAAATATCATACGAGAAAAGAAGAACAAATACCACATTCAGTAATCATTACATTGAATCAAAACGGAAGTAATCGTGAACAAAACTCATAATGAGTAAATCACTCGAAAACTAACTTTTCTTTCCATCATATAGGTTCTGAATCAACATTCCTGGCCAGGAGTGTCACTGGTCAACCCTAGGGCGCTAGACCATAGAATAGCGAACGTCAAACAGGCAAAATTAGCATTAAGATTCTGATTGGTAACTTGACATGTGATATTAGTCAGTCGATTCAATACACGATATATCTGAGGTGCAATTCACGAGGTTAATTAAGTTAGTTCCCAGCACAATGTACAAAATAATTTTTAGACTAAATAACACCTAATTATAACTTGATTACATATTTCCTTTAAACTATGAGTCTTTCAAATGATTTCATCCGAGCAGAGTCCTAACTCTATAATATAGTATGGAATGCCTATATGTTATTCTTTTTGTAAGACTTAACATCAATATCAGAAAAACATTAAGAAACGCATATTGTAATAATATTTTACTAAGAAAAGAAAATCTGTTCGTATCAATAAATGGAACTAGCTGGTGTAACCAACACCCAAAATAAGTTTAGATTCGGTATTTCTCCCGACGAACATTCGTGCTCATGTTGAAATTCAAAGATAACATGTTGACAGCTGAAATAATACTTTAATATTTTTGGTGTTACTAGATGGAAATCTTTAAATACATCATTATTTTATACACTAACAAATGGATGTACATAGTAGCTTGTTTCTATGGTATGTTGAAACTGTATGTGCATCGTGTTCTTGATACCTACAAATTACAACCATCATTACTCACCATTCTACAAACGGTATCATACAATGAACCAATAACTTTTTAAATTTGCTTTTCAGTGTGATAATGTATGTATGTAAATCCTAGTATGGAGTACCAAATGGTACGAATCCATGACCTCATGAAGGATCGAGGTGAATAGTTAATCATTAGACCACTAAAGTAGCATCCAGTGGTATACATTTCCAGCTTTATTCAATTCCAGATCCTAATAATTGTTAATGACTTAAAACCCTCTCACACATAACTGTATATAATTATTTTGAGTTCTCGTTTTTTTTATTTTAACTGAAAATTTGACTGCCAGAATATGAGCAGATCCATCTAAGATGCCATTTATAAATAGCAGAAAAAATTAAAGATTTGAGGTCTTTTTAACTGAAAAATGCTGAAATGTAAATAAAATTATGCGGATTGAAACAGTTCCAGTGGGAGCTATACTTCTTACTTGAAAATAAAGTATACCAGTGATACAGAATGGTGACTACTACTACTACTACTACTACTACTACCAGTAGGAAATATAATAATACTTAAAATTATCCACACCTATTTTCTGTAATATTAGCTTAAAACAAATAGGTCACAACTCGAAAGTGACGAAAGATGTCAAACGTTAGAAGGTAGGGTGGCACTTAACATCATAACGAATAAGTCCATAGCTTTGTTATATTGGTGGTTGAACAGTAGACTGATGTTAGTCTTATAATCCCATAACCAAGTGAAAAATGGTTACAGTATCAGTACGAAACATTCACAAAAGATTATAACCTAATTAATTTCTGTTAATGAAAAAAATTTATAAAAAATTAATTCACACTATCTTTATTCGAACTGTTTACTGATATTGGATCATCAATATTATTTCGACTATTTGCGATCAATTTGTTTGATTCCGATGTTGTTGATGAATTCACTGAGAATAACCGTTGAGTAGGTATATAGGTGTAGTTTACTGTAGAGTTTGGATGAGAGACTTTACCGTGTAATCTCCATGTACCATATTCATCGGAAACATGTCTTTCAAATACAACATAATCGAGCACATCTACAGCAGTATCCGGATTGCCATATAGTAGGCGCCCAAAACGATTATAAATGGATAAAATCTGTATTATTTCAAAGGAATATCAGAAGAGGTGATAACACTTGACAAAAATATACAAAGAATAAAATTCTAAGACTAGTTAGCTATACAAAAAAATGATATACAAAAATCACTCATAATAACATTTCTAACTGGATACGAGCAGTCAATGGGCAGTATACAACTAAGCATTCTGTAAAGTCAGAAGTTTTCAGTGAAAGTCAGCCAAATGTATTTTTTTTATACCTTACACTTAAATGGACACATAGATCATTGTGTACAATCTAAAGAACAACTATTGACATATTTCAGTCCAAACTAGTTTAATATTTATGAATATCCAAACTATGTATGTCTGAGGGGAAACATGGGATTACAATCAATTGACTGATAAACTACTTTACGCAAATATAACAGTTGCAGATAGAATCAAATTATTTCCGTGTTATCTGAAGCTCAACTTTAAGCTGATATTGTTAATTATTTATGTCACTAAACATAGACTTCGTGTTCGGAAAGCAATAACAAAATCTAATCACAGCTAAACATATATAGCACATTTACAGAACACTCATCTCCGGGAGTTTCATAGTAGCAAACTGTACACACATGTAAAATAGAGTTAGCTAAACGAAAGAAAAAAATAAGTATATATATACTAGCAAGGACACAGCAATTCACTGACTTTTATGTAGACTTACGATACTAAACTTAGACTCAAACATTAAAATAAATAATGTGAATGGTAGTTCGAAGAGCCATATTCATAATTAAAACTTTATACATTCAACTAGTCAATAATATTTATAAATGCATAAATCAAGGAACAATGCTATAATGATTAGTCATACATTAGTAATTAGTTGACCTATTACCTGTTGTGTATAGAAACGAACTGTAACTTGAGCATAAAAATTGCCTTTAGATATAAGCTCCTTGCAGCGTATTTGTACAACTCTAGGTGGCTCAATATTACCCACAAACTTCCATTGCAGAGTTCGAAGTTTTAGGTCAGCAGTCATATCCTAATAAAACAGGGATAACATAAAGTAGTGAAGATCAGAATGTCTACAAAACTTTGATGTTATTATGATAGGAATTATTATGTAAATAAAACATTATTAAGTGGTAAACTGAAGAGGTGTGTTTACAAATAATTTATTAAGATAAGGATTATTGGTACGTAGTTACCAATATTCCCAGAGTATGATTTTTATGTAAATGAGGTGCTAAACAGACAGACAACCAGTTGATAAAATCGAATGAATTAAGTTGATTAAATAACCATTAAAACAGTCCGCCAAATACTTATCAAGAATTAGTGAGAGTGATCAAACGAGTCAACCACCAGCAATCCAATAACAATCATTTCAAAAAACGGGAGAAACGAAAGTTTAAAAATCCTGTGGGTTATTTAAAAGTCTGACATTTTTCAAAGATTTACCAACCATTCATAGCAAACTTTCATTCCTTTAGCTACACTGGCGCAACTACGGCAAAAAAGACATTAATGTTCATGTGAAAATATGACAACAACCCAGAAACTGATGTTGGATCGAACTGTAAGAAGTAGTACAATGTTCTCTATAAGAGCAGAGGGGCAAGTGAATTGTTACAACATGACTTATAATCGATCTTAGTAATGCAGATTGCTTTTAATTTTATTTTCCTCTCGCTCCCAAAATTGTCTATTTTCAGTTTATTTATTTGTCCAGTTTATGCCTAATTCCGGTTAATTATTTTTTAGTATCGCTGCTGATTCATTCTAGCTGTGATATCTGAAAGTATCATTTTGTGCCAGATCCTAAATAATCGAAAGAGGGAAATCTAGTAGAATTAAAGAAGATACATTTCTCAGATTGTGTAATATTAAATTCTTTAAATCAAATAATATCAGTTTAATCGAATCCTATCAACAATACTCGAAGACAGTCTCATGACTAATTTACATAAAATTTCACATCGCAGACAAAAACGATAAATAATAACATTTTCGAAGTTAGGTAAATGACAATTACAAAACTGATTCTCATGGTCCATTGTCACGAAAAACAGTGAATAAGATACACAGCAAGACAATGACACATGATTTTGATTTTTTTCTAAAATAGCAATAAACAATCATGAAAGAATGAAAATCGAGTTGAAACACAGAAAGTTAAGCAAAACTTACTACTAGTGCTTTTTCCGTAACTAGTTCAAATAATCGGGATTCATTTTGACGATAACTGAAAGTTAATTCAAACAATTAAACATGACATATTATAAGTAATACATGAAATAACTTCATGACTGTAAGTCAATTTTTCTATATAGAAAACAACAAACTATTCGGATATTACATGCTCAATAGTTTATATTTAAAGGCCCCCACTGGATGAAGTTTTGCATCTATATTTGTTAAAACTGAATATACCGAAATAAATATAAGATAGCTAATCGTAACTGTAATGCCTAATGTCTGGAGTACTTTTAGCCATTTAAACTATGCTCTGAGAGTTGAAGGACCTTTACTTAGAAAAATGATAACGCCTCGTCATAAAAGCCGAGGTTCCTTGAAAGTCACAAGACCGCTACTTCTTTTGATAACCAAAGCACATGAAATTTTCGCACAATAGGAGAGTCCGAGAAGACCACGTATTACATATGCCTGAACACCGATTACCATGAGGAGCAATAATGACTAGTGTTTGAGACATGGAGGAGGCAGCTAAAACAAAACGTGGCATCAACTCATAAAGCCACGGACTTCTAGTCTCAGCTATGTTGGCAGATGCGGACTACTTGGTTAGGGTTTGTGCGAGTATTGTAACTACAGTTGGAGACTCTAGGTTACATGGCTCAGAATCGATCACTCTCTCTGCCTTCCCTTAAAAAGTGAAACTGCTCTATAACTTTCTTTCTACGAACTAATTCTTTCTCCCTGTATCATATCATTACGGGCAATCTTTTTTTTATATATTACTACCATTGATGTAACTACTTTTATGAATTTGGTGTCTATCTTGTTGTGCTATTGAGGTGTGGTAATTTGGACCTATGCATATATGTGCTTGATCCTACGTCGTAGCTGACTGACTGAATCGAACAGTTGAGGAAATGAGGAGATACAACCTGACAAGATAAAGTCAGCAGTCATCGACTGTAGCAGAGAATAAACCTGCTTCCATCAGAAGAGAAAATTACAGAAAGACGCTGGAGATATATAAGTCACACGGAAATCAACAAACTTGACCATAAACTAACTCCTAACTTGGAATCTCCTATGCAAGTATAAAAGAGTCAGGTCAAATAACATGAGCCAGGAACTAAAGGCAAATATCAAGGATGAAAGACACTTGGGAAAAGCTGGAAAGGAGAGCCCAGGATAGTTGGTTGAAGATCCCCGGTTAGTGGCCTGTTCCTCACGAGGACTAACGGAGGTAACATAGATATATATTCATGCCATAGTAAAACTTGCCATAAACTAAACGCTATATACCAATTATATGATATTTCGGAACAGTGGCTAAGGCTTTCGACTTTTGTTCATCGAATCGCAAGTTTGAAACCCCCTACACCTATTTCAATTCGGGAGACCGAGTAGTATAACTAGCCCCCATAATTAGAGTATTGGGCGAAGCCAAGCATTCACACATGTACCTATTATGAGTAAATAATATCATAGAAACTTTAGTGGACATTACATATTGGTTCGCTAATGTTATTGTGATGAAGCTTCTCCTACAAACATCACCATATCAGATACTGACAGATAGTAGACTATCTGTCAGTGAGACATGTTTTTCATCTACTCTTAAAACGCAATCAAGATAGGAAATAAATTACTCCCAGGTCGACACAAAGTAGTAAGTGGGTGTTACTTGGACAGTTCAGGGATATCTATACTTATTTTGGAGAGTAGCCATGAGAATGACACTTATGGTAACAGTACGACTGTAGTGAAAACTTCGAGAAAAGTTACATCATACTGTAGAAATTTTAACAATTAATTATTTCAATCCATGTAAGTAACCAAGCAAACCATTGTGCATTTGAGTTTGATCTAGCCGTTCAATTCGAGAGTTAGTGACACTACCCAGATAATTAAATTGAAGTCGTAGGCTATGACTTAGTGGTAAAAACAGTTGGTTTAAGACAATTGGGTCTCAAACATATATTCTGCACTGGATATTTAGCTTTTTTGTCTTCGGAGTATTGACACTTATAATCCCAAAGTATGACTTGAAGCTGAGTATATGAAACTTTGTTTGATTATATAATATAAAGATAACTGTATTTTTAGCATAATAAATCGAAATAAGATTTAAATGCCCCCGAATGCCCTGGTACGGCCAAGAGTGGGGAGAGTCCGCTCTCCCTCTCGAAATACTCTCACACGGCCGCGCGTATACAGCCTCTGCCAGGGAAGTCCTACTCACTGCCTTCTCGTGGCGGGGGTGTTGTTTACGAAAATGAGAGGACGAAAAGAGAACGCCCGGCGCTTTAACCGGATCACAAACCAATGGTGCACATGGGCTTCAGTATCCTGAGGGAACAAATGGTGTATGAACCAATCGTTGGTCACCGGCTACCATGGGATTGCATTTCCTTACGATGCTCCACTGCCTTGTGGGTTAGACCTTTAGGTCAAAGGCTTGGGGAGTGGCCCCCTAAGATAACCACCTGCTTCGGTTTGGGCACCCGGGCAGTATCACAGCCCACACACAAATGATGAACTATGTCTATGGAAATTACTTTTCTCGCTTCGAAAAACAATCAATTGATTCAGATCATTATCATTACAATTATTGTCATTATTAATACTATTATTATTATTACTATTATTGTCATTATTGTTATTATTATTATTTTCTACATTATTCACCCTCTTTTATACTTATACAGCGGCTCGTCTTTGGTGGAAATTCGACTGTATCTAAACGTTCTCGAGTCACTGTTCGGTTGAAAATTGCATGTTTCCACTGAATATGAGTACTGAAGCAGTTTTTCTGAAACCACGTGCGCCATTCAAACTGGTTGCCTTCAACGTTCGCACACTTATGCAGGTTGGACAACAGATAGGGCTGGCTGTCTTTGGAAAGTCTTCATATCGATGTCTGCTGTCTATCCGAGACCCGTATTCAAGACTCTTATGAAGTACTACAAATTCGATCTCAATCTGTCGCTTCGAAAAGCTTGTTTTACGTGCGCTTATCCGGGGACCCTGTGGCATCTTCGTCTGGTCTTGCTGGCGTTGGTGTCGCACTAAGCGCTAGAGCTGAGGCAGCACTAATCGACTGGATCCCGATTAACAGTCGGTTATGTGCTGTTAGATTAGAAAGTTCCATCAAATTGAAAAGAAATCGGCGTGAGAAACGATGTCTTTTCGTCATCTCCGCCTATGCCCCGACAAATTGCAGCCCGGATGCAATCAAGGATGAGTTTTACCACCAGTTATCTGTTCTTCTCCAGAAAGTGCGTTCGACAGATATTGTAGTACTAACCGGAGACTTGAATGCTCAGGTCGGGCGTCTAGGCACAGAAGAGAGTCGTTTAGGTGGCCGATGGAGACTTGTTGGTCGCACGTCAGATAACGGGGACCGTCTACTGCAACTTTGCACAGACCACAACCTGTTTCTGGCTAGCACTAACTTTCGGCACAGTCATCGCCGATGTGCCACCTGGCGTCCTCCCTCTGCATCTCAAGCCTGCACTCAGATTGATCACATCGCGATCAGCTACCGCTGGCATGGTTGTGTACAAGACTGTCGCTTCTTTTGGAGTACCTATCCGGACTCTGACCATGCCTTGGTCTGCGCCAATCTTGCCTTACTTTTCAGTGGACAACGAAGTGACCGCCATCAACGGATTGATATTAGCAAGCTGGTTGCAACTTCTGTTGCAAGTAAGTATCGAACCGAGCTAGCCTCTAAGCTAGCCACCACTCCACCGAAAAGTATAGATGAGCATTGGTTGCAATTGCATGACGCCATGAAAATGGCGGGTGCAGTCAGTTGTGGGTGCGCGAAACGTCCCGCTTATAAGCACTGGGTTTCTTCAGGTTCCTTACAACTCATTGAAGCCCGTCGGTCTACTCCGGGTGACCGTGAGTTTGACCATAAACGAAGGATATTACGTTATGAAATTGAGCATAGCTTGCGTAAGGACCGAGAAGCCTGGTGGTCGGAGCGTGCTAATGAGCTGGAAGCAACAGCTACATCTGGTAACCATCGGAAGCTCTTCCAACTCATCCGAGCCACTGGCAGCAAGAAGTCTGATGTGAGCGAAACAATCTGTGAGGATGATGGGTTGCCTATCACTAGCATCCATCGACGTCTTGGACGATGGGCAGAATTATTCGAAGGGCAGTTCAACTGGCCTGCTGCTCCGGCAACATCGGTCAGACTGTCCTGCCCTCCATGGCCGGTGACGACTGATCCACCAAACAACGAGGAAGTCCGCAAGGAACTCCAACTCTTGAAGCGTTACAAATCATCTGGCCCAGATGACTTACCTCCGGCTCATTTTAAAGATGGTGGTAACTTTTAGATTAAGGAATTGACGACGTTGTTTACAAAGGTTTGGGAACTAGAGAGTGTACCAACGTCATGGAATGAGTCGATAGTTGTCCCTATCTTTAAAAAGGGTTCACGTCGTTCCTGTAACAACTATCGGGGGATAAGTTTACTTCCGATTGCGTCCAAGCTATTGGCTTCCGTCATACTTCGTAGGTTGTTCGAAACCCGAGAAAGATTGACTCGCGAGGAGCAGGCTGGGTTTCGTTCTGGTCGAGGATGTATTGATCATATTTTCACCCTCCGCCAAATGTTAGAACATCGCCATACTTATCAAAGGCCAACAATCGTAGTGTTTCTTGACATCAGGGCTGTCTTCGATTCGTTGGACAGGACTGTTCTCTGGGATTGTCTACTGAAGAAGGGTGTGCCTGAGAAGTTCATTAACATCCTAAAAGCCCTAAGTAATGGTGGTGTGGATCTGTTGCCTGGAGAAAGACTTCTCGACGATGAGTATGCGGACGATATTGTCTTACTGTGCGATAATGCCCAAGGCATGCAATCCTCACTTAATCAGTTGGCAATCAGTGTCCGTAGGTATGGTATGTGCTTTGCACCTTCGAAGTGCAAAGTACTTCTACAAGACTGGCAGTTTCCTAATCCTGTACTCACCCTGGATGGTGAGCAGATAGACGTAATCGAGAAGTTCGTGTATCTGGGTAGCTGCATAAGTGCTGGTGGGGGTGTGAGTGATGAGATCAATGCACGCATAGTGAAAGCCAAAGCGGCTTATGCCAATCTGGGCCACCTTTAGCGCCTTCGTGATGTTAGTCTGGCTGTAAAAGTTCGGATCTACAACGCGTCGGTGAGAGCAGTTTTACTCTATTCTTGTGAAACCTGGTCTCTCCGAGTTGAGGACGTTAGACGACTCTCTGTGTTCGATCATCGCTGTCTCCGAAGGATTGCTGACATTCAGTGGCAACACCATGTCAGTAATGCAGAGGTTCGGCATCGTGTGTTCGGGCACAGAGATGATAATTCAATTGGTGTCACCATCTTGAAACACCGACTTCGGTGGCTTGGACATGTTCTCCGAATGTCGTCCCAGAGAATTCCACGTCGTGCATTATTTGCCGACTCTGGGACTGGTTGGAAGAAGCGGAGAGGTGGTCAGTGCATGACATGCTGCCGTGATATGAAAGAAAGCTGCAAAGGACTGGCTTCTGTCGGTCGTTCACGACTCCCTGGTTGGGGTCTGAGAGATGGTGCTACACAGTGGCTAGAGACGTTATCAGATATGGCTCAGAATAGATGCCAGTGGCGATCCTGCTGTAACCTTCTTTTACTTTCTTCATAAAGTGTTTGTTTCTCCCTTAACTGAGAGATTTCTTCTGATTGTACCTTTCCGTTCCCTCATTTCTAACATACTACCTCACACCAATCTATTCGTTATTGTTCTCTTTTTTGCACTCCTTAGCTTTTTTTCTATTTTTCTTCGAATTCTCATTGTTTTGTGTGGCGCATATATATTGGCGCTCTCTTGTACCAATATTCATGTGTTCAAATAAATATATCATTACTCCCGGTTATCCTTAATTGATAAACAACAAACAACAGGGTCCTGAATTATTTTTGGAATACTGTAACTAATACACGCACCCAACATACGAAATATATGACATATATTTTCATATGATACACACAATGGTTTATAAGTTGATATAAACTTACTTTTGTAACAAATCATGAGCTTCAACATAAATATTTTCAGCTTCAATAGCAAACTGTTTGGAATTAAATGATGGTTCATGTGATTTTAGCAGCGATGAATCCTTATAGTTTTTTCCCTTATTAAGAAGATTATCTTTTAAAATAGTCAGTCTCTAAAAGCAAAAACAACGCACATTGCAAACATTGTCATTGAAATGTAATAACTACCTTTGTTGACAGCAATGAACTTTGACCATCACCATCAGGAGGGATGTACGGATCAACTATAGTTCCTAAGAAGACACCAGACAAACAGATAGTAGTTTACATGCATTATTCTGCTTTTAACGGGAGAAAGTCTATTTAGTATGTTAATAGTTACTTCAGACAAGATAGTGAGTATACACTTTTCAAATGGTTAGCAGTGGATAATATGAATTTTTTCATATAAATAAAAACACAAAGGTTATCTTTGCATAAAAGTACCTAATTGAAATCGGTTTAGCATTCATTGAAGTCAGAAAGATAAAACAGCCAAAAATACCAATCACTGAAATGTGAATCTTTGAACCTATCACTATACCATTGTATTCTAACGATGCCCAAATACACTAAATCATTCATAACTTAAGGATAAGAATATAGAGAGTGGTAGTTAGCATATTGAAAGTAGTTTGGATGCTCCAGGTGTACCGATCCCTCACATGATCGACGTTACATTAGGTATTAGGAAGAAATACTTACATTGCCCAGCGAATAAGTTATACTTGTTGGTTGTAACAGTTTAATCTTGTGATATGAGTAGTATTTATGCAGTAAATTACTGACTGATAAGTCTTAACTAGTGCTCAGTCTAATTTATGCAAAAACCGATTATTAATCATTAATAAAACATACAAAGATCAGTGCACCTGAATATAGTGTTCAACATATCTTTGGCACCAAACCAAATTCTCATCTAGCCTCGTCGTCCTCTTCCTTAAGTCAAGCCCTATCATTACAACTGTGCTGTCATACAGTCCACGAAAATTCCACTATACACTCAAATATATGAATGAATATTAGTCAAACAAATTTAAAAGAAGTTAACACACATAGGATATTTATTCCCAATTTTAACAGAGGGAAACAATCCAAAGTTCACGACAAAAGTGACTGTTTACCTGTATGTCCAATATTTATTGAGCGATCATAAAAAAGTAGGGGAGGTAACATTCCATTTCTACGTAACCTTCTACGTAAATCTGATGTGCTTTCATTCTCATTAGCGTAATCATCTCTGAGATCAACTGGTGAATCATACGGTTGCATCTGACGCATAAGCCTGAATTTAGGCACCCATGGTTTATGTCTAATAAATCTGACATTACTGTGAAGCTCAAAAATATATTTGTGACTGAACACTGTGACACATCTCCACCTTTGAAAATGAACTAGTTAAGAAATATACCATTACCACATAATCCAATGTTTGAAAGTGAGAACACACCACAACTACAGATGTAATAAAACCATATTATTACATATGAACAGCAAAAATGTTCAAAAAGGATATATATATATATATAAACACTCAGCTTTGAAAATGAAGTATGAATTAAAACAAAAGGGAGTTCAAATATGTAATGGTAATGGATTTTACTTTGAAGGTATGTTACTCAGGGGGCTAATGTCAAAATTGGAATCCCAGGTATGACAAACAGTGCGAATATTTCTGAATAACGCCTAGAATGCTTGAGATCATAGCAAAAATCTGTGTTTCCAACATTGGGCGAAAGTGAGTGTTAAGTTAATCAACTCAATTGTACATCGACTGGTTGTATATTACAGGAACACTATGTATGAATCTGGACTGTAAACACCCAATCTTGAAACCAAACTTAACCTCTTGAGATTATATTCCATCCATTTACCCGGATACGGCCGATGGTGGGGACATTCAGCTCTCCCTCTCGAAATGCTCTCATGGCTAGAAGTATACAGCCACTGCTAGGGAAGTCCTACTCACTGCTTTCTGTGGCGGGGAGAGGGTTGTTTACGAAATAGAAAGGACGATAAGAGAATGTCCGGAGCATTACCCAGGTAAATGGATACAGAGGGTCCACCTAGGGGAGTTGGAAAACCCTGATTCCAAACCAATGGTGCACATGGGCTCCAATTATTGGTCATAGGCTTCCATGGGAGTGCAACTCCTGGCGATGCTCCACTGCCTTGTGGATCAGACCTTTGGGTCGAAGGCTCCGAGTGTGGCCCTCTAAGAAAACCACCTGCTTCAGTCCGTGCAGTATCACAACCCACACACAAATCAAGTGACTTGTGTTGCGCATATGTATTCGGTGCCCCTTCGTACCAATATTTGTGTTCAAATAAATAAAATAGCCCTCATTAAATCTTGAAGTGGAATCCGTCTATGCACATAGTTACAAGGAGTTTTCGCATAATAGTTGATATCACTTGATGATGAAAACTTCAATCCTGACCCCAAATCTTTAACCCTAATCAAAAGCATTAGAGGAGTTATAAAATCAAATTCAGTCATTATGAGGATTCAAGGAAACGAATATTCAACATAGGCGGCCTTACTTATTGTTGTTTTGGAATTCTACGGATAGAGTAACTTGTAGAAGACTTCAGTGAATCCATAAGCTGTCCGAAATTTATTTACACTTTGTAATATTATTGTTCGCTCTACAACCTGATTAAAAAAGCCTCTCTCTGATTGACTATGAACTGAATGAAATCTGTTGTTTCAAGCTTGTTTAACACAAACCCTACATATGTCAAACTTTATGTGAAGACAGAGAATGAGGACCCGATTCAAGTTTATCTAGGAACACGATTACAATAATCATGAATCAAGTGATGAAAAACCACGATTCGGTCACCTATTACCGTGGGACTGAACTCTCCATAGCGTTTTTCTGAGGAGCGCAAGAGTTAGGTTGGAGAACGAGCAAAACTTGTTCATGTGCATTGGATTTATGTGGATTTTATAACAACCTAGAACTGCTATCGTCATTTACTTCCGAGGATTATAATTCTCCGCTGTACTTGAACATTTCTCATATTTATTAAGACTTCTAATTTAAATCAATCCTCATTTTCAATTCAGAGTAAATGGAAATTTAGGTAAGTCTATATAATTGAAGATTATTGAACACTTTTTAAAATCAACCTAGTGTACATGACAACTTCTGTAGTAACATGACTAGCATCTGCCCATATTCTCTCATACAAATGATAATCCCTTTGATGTGAAATAATATTCCTTCCTACAAGATTGAATCGTACGCCAAAACCTGCATTGTCTATATCCATTAATTTGCTAACATAATAGATCAGCTGACATTCTCGACACTCATTATGGTAACTTACTTATGACATTGGTTATCAGCCAGAAAATATCAGCTAAATACTGGAATTCAGAAACAATTGCCGATAAAAATCGGTTCTGTTAACTAATATAACAAATTATTGCATGAAAAGACAACTATACCTACCGGTAACGCTAAGATTTGAAAACGCAACTAGTCTGTCTGATATACAATTTCTTTCATCTTCGTAAAAAATGTCAGGTTTTATTTCATGAAATTGTATATCTCCGTACTAATGATTATCCGGGTATCTTTTGGAAAAGCTTGACATTTCTTTGGGAACATTAATTGGACATCATGTCCCAATATTTATTGTGTTCCAGAACCAGATTTGCCAAGTTAGCACAGGACTACGTCCAGCGCTAATGCTTTTCTAGTAAACTTCTGAGAGTGTCCATTCTTCTCTTGAATGGTTTTTTTGAAGAAGTGGGCACCACTTCTTCGAGTATCAGGTTCCCGGAATTGATGACTCACTGTGGAAACCTGTATGCCACGGGTATACTATTCATTCTTGGCTTTTCTACTCGCCTGTTATGTTCACTGAGTTGTCTCAACCCGGTAGAAAAATAAGGGAGGATATATCAGGTTTAAAATCTTTTCTTATTATATACGTCAAAATCAGATCACTTATTAATCGGCAGTGGAATACAGTAAAGAAGACTCGCTTTGTATGATAAACCACGAAGTTCATGAATTGCACGGCTAGATTTCATCCGTACTTTTTTTAAGAATACCTGAATCCCCTTTAAGCCCAGGGCTTGCAGCTTGAATGCACTTTTCAAGTTTCGATATCTTGAAGTTTGTGCATGCTGTGGTGAAAATATTAGTAACTAAATTGATAAATGTCTGTTTTAAAGGGTTCCAAACCATTTGATTACTATGTCGGAGCAGTGTAATGGGGTCTTAAGATCGTGTCTCACTGTCACCCTTAGAACCTTGTTAGATGGAACTACGTGAACACTTACTTCTCCTATACTATACCTACCTGACCGTGTATCCACAAAGCGTATGTAGACAAACTGCCGCGATGATATGCACTAACCACTTTTTGGACCAGCTAATTAAAACATCTAGATCAGACTGAAGTGCACATTCATCTGCGTCCACTGTTGTTTTGCACCACTTGTTTGCACCATTGGCGTATAGTAGTACTGGGGACTCAAATATACTTAGTAGTTGACTTATATGCAATATAAATGTAGAAATTCCGCCAATGGCTCTTTTACGGTTACTGACGGTTTCAAGTCCATACGACGTAGGATGGTTTGATACGGAAACGGCAGTCTCATGCCATAGAAAGCACTTTGCTAAAGAAACGCTGACCAGTTATACAGAATAAACCACTTAAACTCTGCCCTCCCAGTTGACTGAAGAACAATGATGCCTCATGATGAAAGCCGAAATTATTCAGAAGTCACGAGAACGCTGTACCTTCTAGCAACCAGAGCAACTATTTTTATAAGTACATGGAACTTTCGGATAATGTAAGAGACCGAGAGGGCAAATCAAACATCTGCTTAAATGAGGAAAATCCAGTTGACGGTGCTCGGAATAAATGAAATCCATTGACATCAAGCTGAATAGGAAAGATTAAAATCGGATGAGATGTTGCCGTATTCCTGTCACGAGGAGAACAACGATCCACACACTCAGGAAGTTGCTTCAATGCTGTCTAGGGACACACGTAAAACATTTATTGGATGAGAATCTAATGGATCCACAATGACCAAAGCATCTATAAAAAACAGAAAGGGATCATAATGAATGTTATCCAGTGTTTTGCACCCATCAGTGATAGCAATCAAGACGATGAAGACCAGTTTAATGAGAGGCTGCAATCAATTGTAGAGAAGTGCTTAAGAAAATATCTCACTATCCTGATGAGAGATCTAAATGGACAACAACCGTCATCAAGGTATATAGAGACGATATGAACTGACCGAGAGAGGAGAACGGGAATATGTATCGAAAAAATCGGTTATAGGTTGTATAATACTACTACAAGAACGCATACACAAAGCTACGTGGGTCTCGACGGATCATACCACGGAGAACCAGATCTATCACGTTTGCATTACTAAAACATTCGGAAGGCGAATATATGGTGTGAGAATTAGGAGAGGAGGTGGCATAGCTTGAGATCATCACTATCTAGTTGCTTAAAAGATGAATATGAAGCGAAAGAAAAACTGAATAATTGGGGAAAAAGCCTTGCAAGTGTTCAATAAAACCTTTCTTTGAGATACTAACTAATTCAACATAACTCTCAACAACAGGTTTCAAGCCTAACACGATGTACTTAAATGAAAAGGGACAAAAGAAGCACTAACTACAACGTGTCAGGAGATTCTGGGTCACGAAGAGCACCATCACGAGGAATAGTTCATTGTTGATACACTGGATAAAATTCAAGAAAGGTCGAACAAGAAAACAGCAATCAATTTCAGCCGAACGAGAGCAGAGAAAGTCTAGGCACAAGATGAATACACAGAAGCAAACAGGCAAGTGAAGAGGAACCAACAAGCAGAAATGCATGAAACAGAAATGACAACGGTAAAAGCCTCAAGAAAAAGAAAAATGAAACACAGGCCTTCCTATAGATGTTACTCCACCAACGACCGAAGAAATCAGGATGGCCATCGGACGAATCGGGAATACTCCACATTCTCATCAGTAAGATTTGTGATGAAGAACAAGTACCAACAGATTGTAAATTAGGACACCTGATCAAGATATCAATGAAAGGTGATCTCAGAAAGTGTGAGAACTACCGAGGCATCACTCTTCTCCGAATTACGGGAAAAGTCTTCAACAGGGTGTTGTTAAACAGATATAGACATCCAACTTCGAGATCAACAAGCTGGATTCCATAAGGATTGATCATGTACCGACGAACTCGCAACACTACGGATCATCATGCAACGATCAGTTGAGTGGAATTCACCACTCCACATCAACTTCATTGACTAAGAGAAATCATTTTAGAGCGCGGACAGAACAACACTACGGAGGCTTCTCCGACACTACGGCGTACCTGAGAAGATAGTCAACATCATGCGAAACTCTTATAATAAATTAATCTGCAAAATCGTACATGGAGGACAGCTCACAGAATCGTTCGAGATAAAGACCGGTGTCAGGCAAGTTTGTTTACTCTCACTATTTTTGTTTCTTCTGGTGATCGGCTGGATTATGAAGATGCCAACATCTCGTTGAAGCACGGGATACAGTGGACAGCTAGAATGCAGCTGGACGATCTAGACTTCGCAGACAATCTAGCTTTTCTATCGCACGCGCAACAGCAAACGCAGAAGACGACCAGAATATATATATATATATATATATATATATATATATATATATATATATATATATATATATATACGCCCATTAAAAACAGTCAAGACTGATAAGCGAATAATTAACAAGGTCAAAATATGACTCAAGTAGAATGAATAGATTGGTTTGTCCAAAAACTAGAATAAAATATATTATGGGCTTAAAATAATGACTGACACTACAACACACATGAATTAGTAATCATTCTCGTAGTAAATTTTCCATTGCATCAGATAGTCATGAATAACTTTGTTTTTCTATAAACAAAAAAGAAAAAACTGTACTCATTTAAAATTTTCGTGGTCCGTTATTTTTGTTAGTAATTGTGGCTTTAGATTGTTTCATGTATATGAATGCAAAACGAAAACATTTTCACTCTGTTAGAATATAGTTTGTGGTAAGAAGCTATGTTTACATGGTCCAGAACTAATATTTGGGACAGTTCGTTCGTTTCACATCACAAATATCCATTGAAATATTTTTGATGTGATGTGAAAGTCATTAAACATTTGGATTGTAATCAGTCATAGTCGTTGCATGACTGAATTATAGGAAAACTGTCTTCCTATTGAGTACATATCTCGATAGCACCTAAAAAATCACTACTTTTTTTTAATATTTATGATCATACCCCTAAATTTTACTGTTAACAGTACAGAAAATTACTCAGTCGTGCACATGGTCTCCAGAATCCTGAGGAGACAATAGGCATATGAACCTAGTGTTGGTCACCGGTTACCGTGGGACTGCATCTCCTTACGACGCTCCACTGCCTTGTGGAACAGATCTTCGGGTCGAAGGCTCCGGTTGTGGCCGCCTAAGAAAACCACGTGCTTCGGTTTGGGCATCCGGGCAGTATTATAGCCCTCACACATATCAAATGAGATTTGTGTGGCGCATATGTATTTGGTGCCTACTTGTACTAATATCTATGTGTTAAAATAAATAAGTAAATAAATAGAACGCTGTCAGAAATTTTGATTTCAAAGTACAACCTTCGAAGTGCTGCCTGATGAGCAAGCAAGTTAAATTCCTAGGTTATGTAATTGATGATCAAGGAATACTTTCAAATAGCAAATAACACCGATCTTATTTGAAACTACTAATCAACTCCACAACTTCCTAGGTTTATCAACTTATTACAGGTCTACCTAAACATTTTCCGTGATTTTTAACTTCGAACGGACTGGCAGGTGCCAACAATCTTTCGACCAGTTAAAAGAGTTATTATAATTGACACCAATTTATCATATTCAGACTATTTTTCCACTACTGGCCGTTTCATCTTAGACACCTATGCAAGTAACTAAGTTATCGGTTCTGTGTTATAAGAATTTTCTTCAGACGAAAAAGAAAAAGGTTATTGCATACGGAAGTAGAATGTCACATAAGTCAGAAAAAAATAATTGTACAACACGCAAATTGATATTAACAGTCGTTTAATTTGTGCGCTACTTTCGACATTACTTACTAAGACGTCAGTTTGTTATTAGAACCGATCATACAGCTTTGATATGGTTACATAACTTTAGAGAGTACGAAGGAAAGATTGCTCGATAGTAAGAGTGCTTACAAGAACATGAATACAAATGCATCCATAAGTCCGGTAAACAGTAATAAAATGTAGACGCCTTATTATGCAGAGCAGCTAAACCTCATGGAAACTGTCCTTCGTGAGTCACACCGACAACAAATATGACAAAGTTAAACTACTACTATAGGGGGGTTTGACCAAATATTTTGAGATATATAGATAATCGTGATTTTAGTAGAAAACCAGCATTATATCAGAGTCACTGACAGATTAAATACAGTTCTAATTTATTAACGAAGATACTAAAATATAACGTCAACATTAGATGTTTTAGTATGGCAATTAAATTTTAGTAACTATGTTTTCAGTAAAACATACTGAATAATTATTTGAAGATTTGGAAACATTTAACATGTATTTTAGAAGTTATTTTGAAATACATATTTAAGATTTTGACTAGATTAAACCAATGTTTTATGCATCAGAAAGTTGTTTTACACAAAAGCTTTGAAAATCTCCATTTAATCCATAATTACACGTCTGTCTAATCCTCTAATAAAGCAAGCTTTGTTAATCAGATAAAATGGAATTTGTTACCGATTTGATAATTAAATGATTGACGTTTTACAGAAATTTTATTCATAGTTTTATACCGAACTATTTGAAGAATTGGCCTTTTCGGGAATGAATTGGTGGACGATGTGAATCAGTATACGAAACATGTTTATTTGTCCAGAGGAAATCCAAATGTGACTATTGAACAACCTGAAAGTTTTTATGATTGTTTATTCGCTGAACATAATAGTGTTTACTTGCAAGTATTTGTAACTAATGACAATATCTTATATTGAATTTAAACAACTACTATGATTGGAAATTATGAAGACACAGTTTTATCTTGTTAAAGTTTGAAACCGTCAGTTCAAAGCACAATTATGAGGAGCCTATAAAAATATTCTTTGATGATATATTTATCAAAAGTTTGGTAAGATACAGATTGTCAGTTTCCAAATATGTGATGCATTTGTATAAAGAACTGTGATGTGAATTTGTTGAAAACAATTAGTAAGCCTGAAATTCCTTTTTTGCAGATCGGAACAGAAAGTGTAACAACGGTCAAAAGCTATGTTAAATAATCTTAGAGTTGAGAGAATGTATATTGATTGGAAAAGACTGAAAAGAAATGCGAAGATGTGTTTGTGAAATTTCGTTAGAAGTTCCTAATGTCATATTATGTCATTTTCATACAAGCCGCTGTTTAAGTGATCACTCACTCGACGTTTTGTAATTCATTGTTTATGATATTTATTTTCTGTTACAAATTGTAGTAGTTTACCTAATTCATATCAGTTTGTATATTAAATAAGGCGTTGCTTTGTTGCTGTAGTTAATAAAGATTATGCTTGCGAAAAACAAATTCCTACCTCTAAATCGGCAACGATTTTCACTATGTGAGAAAGTGGTCAGTGGATGTTTTTCACAAAATTTAAATTGTGTCAAATAAAACATATATGTACACTGATATCAAGGTTTCAGAAGAGTGGAAAAACTAGTCTTCATTCGTTTCTATCCATGTTGTTCGATACACCTAGTCAATGATGATCTGAGTACCTTAGTAGTTCTACTCCACATAAATTTAGTCAACTATTCATAAGCAACTTAGAACCTGACACAAACATATGTAATTCGGATTCTTAACGCTTCACAACAGTAAAATATTGATTTAATGAAAAGCAATATCTTCGAATTACCATATATGCAAAGCATAGTTCGAGAAAAACAAATGAAATGTATAAAGAAACATATTTTATATACATTAAACTTAACATTTGAAACGATATAATGATGAATGAATGCATCTTTAGACCTATGTTACTTTAAATATCAATCGGAGGGAAATGATTATCATTACCTATACTTCAAATCAGAAGTTACAGATTTCTTAAACTGAAGCCATGTGTCGAGACATATTTTAGTTGCTGATAGCTTGGTTTATTGAACAAATCACTTATCGAAAAGTAGTATATGGTACATAATAAAAATCCCTTAAGAGTGACTAATGGAAAATGTATTTCGAATTCCCCTAAAACAGGGGATAAGTTTACAATCAGATTATCAAAGCATATTATTTTTATTCATATAATGAGAGTAATCAACGTTTAGTCTATTGTTAATTATTATCTCCATCTTCGTTTGATCAAATTTTCTTGACGATTATTTTAGTTCCATTCGTTTAAATCAAAGCGCTTTTTTTTAAAAAAGTGGCGAGACTCTGATTCATGGATGACCTTTGAACGAATCCTACGCGACCTTAAGAAATATTAACCAATCAGTAAACAGTCAGTATAGAGTAAAAATATGTTATACAAAACCAAGGAAATAAAGTGGATACACTTCGTATACGTGGTTCAAAAACTTGCCAAGGTTAGAAAGAGGTTCACAGGTTCTAAAATCGTAATGCATGCAGTAGATGAAATCATCCATACGGCTACAGAATAGTCAGCCTCTGGAGTTATGATTGAGTCTCAAAAACTCTCAGCCTCGACCACATAGTTTCAATATTGTTTATGTGTACTCTGGTTGTTGAAAGCACAAAATACTACTTGTGGACAACGTCACGATACACATAACCAAGCCTATGCAGGAGTCTGTGCGCTCTCCAATCATCCGTATATATTGTAGTACCTGGCTGCTACCAGTGTTACTGGTGCTTTTATTATCCAGTTCGCAATAATTGTCGTAATTTGCCTTAGTTGGGAATTATATATGGGGTTTTCATCACGAACTGACATCAGCTATAATGCCAGAAATTCATTTAGCCAAATGGATGAAAGGCTTTTGCGTTAAAATCCGAGATCTATTATCTTTGACCTGATTGATTCGTCCACAAATTATGGTCCCACCGTTTTATTTGTTATAGCCGCTCAATTATCACGTTTTGTACAAAATTTCCTGTGAACTGGTAGTACGTTAGCCTTAAGCAGTGAAGTTGGTGCCGTAACCTTGAAATCTCTAAAACGCTTCTGATTGGCTCGTCCATAAATTAGAGTTTCGCCAAAAAAGTTTCTAGCTTTCAGTTTAGTTTAGTTTAGTCGATCTTGTTATATGCTTTATATATTTAATAACTATTAAGTGATGAAATCATAATCTAAATGAGAAACTACTTGAACTTTGAAAACTTAAAACTGTACACTGATTCACTGTTGAATTAGTTGTTATGTATTTATAGAACGAAAAAATTCCCCTGACTGATCCATAATATTCTTTAAAGAAAAAATTTGAAATCATTGCACTATGAAATATATGTTTCTATCAGCATATAATGTAGAATTCATTGTTACGATAAAACAATTTACTTAATAATAAAAAAGTAATGAATAAATGTATTATAAATTCTTATTTAATGAACATTTATATTAGTTAGAATTATTATTCTGTTAACTTTTTTTTCTTTTTTCTTTTGATTAACCAAGTCTCATTAATCGAACAGCTCGTTTCATAACCTCTGAATCATATTGATCACCATTATAAGGAATTTCTAGTTCAGCAACACTATCACCTTGACTGAATGAAGGTTTTCTAGAGGCTTCAACTCCTAAAGGATACCATCGACGCATTGGTTCTCCATTAATTTTATTAGCTAAAGCAATAATAAAATAAAATATAACGGTAAAAACGTTCATTGATTATATATCAATAATAAATCTTCGTTGAATCTTGTTAAATCTAACAAATAAGTACCAAAAGCGTGAAGTTTTATATTGTTACACCTGTCTATACTTAAAACACCGTCAAGGAAATCGTGAAAAATTATTTGTAAAGTCTATTAAATTTCATATCATTCAATGACAAAAACTGTTCCCTAGTTAAGTAACAAATATATGGTCACTAGTTGTTACTTAGGAGAAATATCATTAAAATTCTAATGAAAAGACATATTTTATAATACTCCATTATGTCAGGAAAGAAATAGTTATCACCTGTGGTGTTGGTTGATGATTATGAAGAATCGCACATTCACTGAAGTGACAACCTAACTGAGTGGATTGAAGGTATTATAGTTTTCAGGAGACTTGATCGATCCCCGTTCAATCATGTTCATAGCCTTGGGTGTTAGAGAACAGCCTTATAGTGTTACGTAAATTCTATCAAATTCACAGCTCTTCAAAATGAGCCCAGTCTTTAGTTAAAATGAATATCGGATACCAAGGAAATTATGTCAGTTAAATATCTCATACCTAATCAATGAATCAAAATGACACTCTGTTACTAGAACAAGTATATCGAATACAAGATGAGAAATCATAGAGTTTGTTATAATTATGAAGAAAATAATTACGAAGTAACTTTATGAATAGTTCTGAACAATATGGGTTTGCTTTTTAGCCGTACTTAGAAATACTTAACATTTTACAGGACAGAAAACTATCATGATAGGAAGAGAAGTCTATTTAAGGCAGTTAGTGGTTGTAAGTAACTAAACATATGCTGTAAATGGTCGACGTTGTAAGCGTATGATTTTTAACCAATACCACTTGATTATAACTATTTTGACTCAAATGCATATAAGCCGGACCTAAGCTACAAGTAAAATTGTACCACAAAAAATGACAAGAAATTAATGCTGGTATTATTCACAAGGCATACTATATAATGTTGGATAAATATACAATCTATTACTGTTTTATTGTTTAATTGAAAATATATGTGATGTGTGGGCGAGAATGATAATAATTGGTTGTCTGCTTAGTCAGAAATGTAGATAATCTGACAGGTGTCAGATGAGTTATATACTCCCCTATCCTTATTACTAATATTACTCACTTATTATTGATTGTTCATTGCTGTTGGATTGTGTCGGGTTTTGGTATGGAAACATTTTCACGTTGTAGTCAGACTAATCACGTGTTCTTGATCTGAGTTGTGTTGACGTCGTGTAGAATAGACAATGGGAGGGAATCTAGTTTAGATATTCGTTTAAGATAAATTAACATCCCATACGTGTAAACGTGTAAACCCAACCGTTATAACATTAGACGAATTAAAACCGAGCGTTATAACAATATGAATGGTGATAAGGTTTATACAACCGATTACATGATATATATAACACTCTGTAAACTCATATAAACAAAAGTATTCTTCGATTATATTTAAAATGGTATTTCTATTTGTGGAATAATTTCATTATCTGAGTTCGTCAATAACATTCTTTATCTACTCGCTGCAAACGTTTAACTTCAAATTCATGTAATCTTATGAAGTTAGTGATATGTGTTGTATACGTTATTTCTCAATGAAAGCATATTATTTATGTACATGCATACAGCTTCTATAAAATGTCAGAAACGTCGGTCGTTGTCAAACGGGATATTAGGTCATTGCGACAGCATCAAATAAATATTTTTCATGGTCATAAACTCTTATCATTTAGCAACCAATTGGCTATTCGATTCACTTTGTCCTATGTTCCATAGATAGTATGTTGAGTGCGGTTATGCATACTGTAATGTTTAAGCTTATATATACAATAATACTTTGATTCAAAGCATGCACCGTATGTTTTAAAATAAAGCATACGGATTCTTTTCTTGTCAGTTTTTATTTTAATTAGAAAAATTATCTAATATTTCCGTAACCTTGTGTTCGTATTGATCCATTCTATTTGAACTGTGTCCGAAAATCCCATTAAATTTCCATTCCGGTTGACCTTTACTTTCTCATTCAGTTTAAAATAAATACAGGAAAGTGTATAGTAAAGGTTGTAATATATGATATAAGTAATCATCACTATCTGCAATATATCACTAGTCAGAATGTCTATAAGGGTTATTCAAACGTAAACAGTATCATTGAATTATTTAAAACAAACAAATACTCATATAATTTCATATCATTAAAATTATAGTTCAGTTTTCGTTCCTACTCACCTGTTTGCATGCTATAAAGCATAATTGTTGAAAGCAAAAAAATTAGAATTTGTATTTTGCCAAACATTTCAAAGTGAATTTAACTGAATGGGGTATTGGCTAAAAAAGAGAAAGTTATACCATAGATAATTATTGATGACTTAAGCTGTCACTCAAATAAAAAAAAGTTTATTAAATATATGATCTCCATTTGGATATTTAAAAATGTTGTTTAGTTTAGTGAATTGATCAATGTTAAACCACTATTGAAGACCTGTAAGCACTGATGGCCGTTTCGTCCAAGTATTGGACTACTCGACAGTGTGCATTCACAATCCCACTCTCGAGAATCTAACCCAGTACCGTCGGTCTCGCGCAAAAACGCTTAATCTTCAGACCACTGAACCGGGACCCAAGAGTGTTAATTTCTACCTCCAATCAATCCATGATGTCACACATCCCTCTTCTATTGTCTTCGATCGGCAACTGCTTCACAACTAACACGATTGAACTCGATTGTTCACAGCTTTATGATCTAACATGGAGTAGGTATATAATCAAGAAATCCGAATATTGTGTTTAATAAGTTCATCCATAGAAAAATTAAGACAAGTAACAATCAATCCAGAATTTGGGAACTTAAAGGTGAACACTGAAAGTAAATTCACTGACCAACTAACTACGCTTATAAATGTAAGTGAAAGAAAACTTTATTTGATTATCATAATATCAGCATAAATGTATGGATATAAAGCGTAATAACCATCTGGACATTCTAAAAACGGAGTTTTTGTTTTCTTTTATGAGTCAAAATCACATCAATCGAACAGTTTGGGAATCACTACTGAACTATGATGATGCATTAATAATAAGTTCAATGTCAAACAGCATTTGTAGAAAAACGTTTCACACACCATAGAAAGACTTAAATACCATAAACAAATTTCTCATAGCAGTACTCAGTTTGTATGGAAATAGTTTTAACAGTATATGGCATCTTAGCATGCTTGATGTCAACTTTTACATAACATATTTGAATTCTAACAACAAGACATTTTCTTAGATTCATTGAATTGTTTTATATAGGTAATAATCACTAGAATAAAAATTTGTAAGTTATTTATAAATCTTGAATCAATATAAAATGTACTTAATTATTCTTCCAATTCATTTTACTATTTCAATTTTGAGATGGTAGAGAAGACTTAAAGCTCAAATGGATGATTTTAGTGGATTTTTGTTCTGTGATCTGGATGGTTTGGTTATGAAGCTTTCATTTGATTTCATCAACATTTCTTGAACACTTCACCTCTACCTGAAGTTTGCACTGATGATGTCGTTCAGAATATAACGATGAAAGTTCTACGACCAAACTATCCAGTTTAGAGAACAAAACTCCACCAAAAACTATTTCAATTGCATGTATTCAATCTGAGTTAATTATTATTTAGATTAATCTTTACTCTCATTTCTTAGCATATCACATCTTTATGAAATGTTTACATAAAATGAAATAATTGTATACAAGATTGTGAATTTTTAGGGGAAATATTCACGTATTTTTGAATAAATAGTTGTTTTGTTTTATTAGATGAAAATAAATAATTTAAAGTAAACAAGGTTTTCATGATCTGTAATAATCAGGAAAAATGAGAAGTTTATTACGAAGTAATGTAGAAACTTATTTAGCAATAGTGAATATAAGAAACGATTGTTTACTCATTATTGTTATTATTATTACTATTACTATTACTATTACTATTATTATTATTATTATTATTATTATTATTATAACTATATATTGATACAAACCTTGTTGTTTCTCATGAAAGTCATTCAGTGAAGAAAATTTTAACCGTTTAAATGAACACTATATTTAAGTAGTTAATCATTTCGTATACAAATACTACCTATTTTTTTTCCTAATGAATATGATAAAACTTTACTACATTGTAAATAATGTTTAACAACTAAGTATTAATAAAGTATCGAAATAATGAAAGGTTTTCACTCCATAAGCAATGAATGAAAATCTCACTAAGACTTTATAAATGTTAATATAATATGGTGAATGATAACACAAGTGGGAACAATTGAGTGTATTGAAATATAAAATTACAGAATAACTTAGTGAAATCTGAGAACCATACGGTAAATATTTCATTTGCAAAATGTCAATCAATCGTTTCAGACTTCATTGTTCTTTCGTTTTCACACCAATTATTCTCTGTTTTTCATGGTGGTCTAGCTTCGATTGGCTAATGATCTCTACTATTGAAATTACTATAATATCCATAAAAATCCCTTTTTGAAATAAATATTTTTTTAAAAAATATGTTGTACACGTTTATAACTTTGTGACGACAGACCACCGGTGAACTCGAGGAAGCTGTAAGAGGCTCAGAAAGAGCCGAAGATTTTCTATCCAATCACCTTTCGGAAGAATATTCTAGAATCCCTACGTGTAACTTCCAAATTAGATAATGCTAATAGCCCCCCGAATGCGGATTGGAAGACTGTAATGATGATTTCGTTCTTAACAAAAACCATAAATACCTGACAATCTTGTACTATGATTGACACTGTTTGAAACAATATTCCTCTCATTAGCCTTCTGTCTTCTTATTGCGACTTGGAAGGGCTTTGTTGTTCTAGTGTTCTGTTATACGCGGTATATCAAGAAATCAACATTCAAGATATAACAAACTTCTTGTAGGTTTATCTTTTCTCATTAGACATATAAAAGCTTATAATGTTAAGAGATATTTTACTACAGAATCGTTTTGGTTCAAGTCTGTTATATCTATATTGATGTAATACGCTTTTTAAAATATAACTATCTTTATATTCTAGTTTGAGAAATATTTTTTCTAATTAAAGATATATTTTCCTTCATACTTTGTGCATATCTAGTTTTTTATAGGTTGGTGATATTCTTAGTCAATATCCAAATATCGTACAAAATTAAATTCTTGATCAAAATTTGGTAAAAGGAAATGAACGAAACAAAGAAACAGTTCTTTCCAATTAGTTTTTCATCATGGTTCTTTCCTGATATATATATGTCATTGATAATAATAAAACAATACATATCAAGCAGTGGTTTTATAATTTCATTAGTGATTATAAAACTATGTCGAAGGACTGACTCAATGATTAGAAAAACGAAATGGTAATTGTAATGGACAAACTAATTATTTATAAGAATCAGAGAACAGAGAGGACATTTAAAAGAGGAATACGTAGAAATTTGTTGGTTGAATAAAGCACTGTTTTCTACACTTCGGTGCCAATCAGATATTAAAGGATTTACTTTGATGATATAATATACTGTGGCAAAAAATGCAACATAATTCCTAGTACTTGTCACTGATCTTAAGATATTAATTGTGTCTATAACGAAATAAGTTTGTGATACCAGTCAAACAGAAAAGGGTCACGAATCATTGTAGTAGACAACATTTCCGTTCAACAAACAATGGGATACTCCTGTCTGATGAGCCCTCTTTGCGAAGTTAAAAATGAAAAATCTTTCGTTTCTATCTATTTGAAAGATGCATGGCAATGCTATATTTTGTACGTTGGTTTTGTAAACTGTTTTTTATCCCAAAACATATTAAAAATTGTATTTTTGTTCTTACGAGTACTTTTTAAAATTTAAGAGCGTTAATAGTTTTCAACTTAGTTACTTACTTACGCCTGTTACTCCCAATGGAGCATAAGCCGTAACAGGCGTAAGTCAGTAAGTAAGTAAGTAACTACGTTGTTTTTTAGCTGAATTTTGGAATTTTCACTATTTGCTTTTGACGTAGATACGCAGTGAATTTCAGATGTATTGTTGATATAAATTTTACTGCGTGTAAACTAAGTATCATTTTTTTCAAAAGAAGACTACAATAACTTCATATCTTCTCACATATACTGTAAAATCTCCAAAAAACATTTAACTGATTAAGTTGTCAGAGTTAAACTTTTCACTTCTTTGAGTTTGAATGTATCACTACTAGAATTCGACTTCGTAATTCCAAATAAATTGAACATTGGATAGATTGTAAATAAAAATTTGATCTTGAAAAGTCCGCAACATAGTTACAAAACGCCAAAAATCTAATTTTCTACTAATTTGGTTATTACAAATATATTAACAACTTTATTAACAACTACATTTAAATTTGAAGACAACCTAACAATAGTTACTAAGGTGTTTGAATTTCATCCATCGTAAGCATAGAAATCTAAAAACAGATAATAAATAAAGCAAAGTAAATATGTTTTCTTTTTTTATCTAAAGTATCAAACATATTAGTTCTTTAATATGCGTTGCAACAATGTTTAAAAAACAGTGTTATCATAAAAACTGTAGATGATATAACATATAAGGTAACAAATTGTTGATAGTATAAAGTAATGATAAATATATGATTTACAAATGAATAGACTTTTACTTTACAAAGTTATCCATAGCTAGATATAAAGGATTTTTAAAATTTTACTAGGGTTAAATAATTTATACTAATTTCTTGTGGTCACGCAACTGAAGTTATTTATTAAGGTAAAAGAAACGGTAACAAATATGTATAGATTACAGAAAAATGAATAGATTTATTGTCTATTTTTTTGTAGAAGATTTTAAAAAAATAGTTTCTCGAACTTTCTCAATTCTGAATTGAATTTCTATTGTATTGTAAAGAATTAGAAGGAAGATAAGGAAATTTAAAACGTTCTGTCTATTTTGTAAGCAATGATGGATAGTGGCTAGGAGTGGAATCCAGGATGCGCGTTTCGTTCTATTTGGGACTCGTCATCTGGATGTACCTGCATCTCAGAGAGTTGATGTTCACTCTTGGACTCGAACCCAGTACCATTCGCTTCAGACGCCATCGCGCGTCCTGGATTCCACTGCTAGCCACTATCCATCACTGCTTACAAAAAACTTGTGAATATCGAGGCATACACACAGTATGCACATATGCCGATAACAGACTAATCAATTGCGGTCTTAAACCTCAATGGGAAGATACAAGCCAAATAATACCAAGTGATTTTTGTCTATTGCTTTAGAATATTTTTTTGTACAGTCCACTGGCCAGCAAAATAGTCCGTCAGCTACATACATCATA